TCCGGCACCCACGCACCCCTCGCCGGCGTGCAGGGAGCAGCTTTACCGAACAAACTGGTCTATTGTACTGCAAGCCATTTACCAACCCCCAAACCTGTTACAAAACGGCAACCCCGGGCTTCTTTCTTTGGGGAGAAGAACACGCACACTCACACGCACACTCACGCACACGCGCAAAACATGGCAGGCAGGAGCGGAGGAGAAGAAAGGAGGGGGAGGGCAGCGGAGAGGAAGACTAGAGACAGGTAAGTGCGCCCCAGGGCAGGAGCGTGCCTTTTCAGGCCTCTTCTCCCGGCCCTGCCAGCGCTCTCCCCGCCACCCTCGGGTGACAGGGGGTAACTTTTTATCTCGGGGATCCTTCAAGCGACGCCTTTGTCACATCCACTGCTGTCGCCTTACCCCGCACGGCAGTGAATTCCCAGCGCGGCTCCCCGCTCCCCCCACGACGGCCGGGGAGAGGTGGGGCCCCCGCGGGAGCGTGTGCCGCCGGGGGCCCCGCGGGCCGGTTGCTGCCGGGGAAAACCCGGGGTTTCTGTTGGAAGAGGGGCCCACGCTCGGTGCGTGCCGCCACGCTGGTACTCCGCGCCCGTGGGCAGCGCTCCGGCCACCTCGCTGAAGCCGTGCCCCCGTCCCCTCCCCGCTGCACCGGCAAGCGCTAGTGGCGGCTCCGCCGCACGGCTTTTTCCTTAAATCGTGTAGAGAGAGAAAAAAAACCCCCGAAGTACCTCCGCAAAGTCCCTCCTTCAGCCGGAGCCGCCGCAGGCTTTTACCAGGAGCAAGGGGAGCGGGGCCCTCATTTTATCCTTTTCTCATATTTAGTGGCTCCCTTTGACGGAAACGTAATTTGTATAATTAGCTGAGCGCACACGGGCGACTGATGGGCTGTGGAGTGTGCAGCTCTCGACGCTAATTACTCTCAGGAAAGGATCCAGGGCGGCTTAAGGCGAGAGATTTGCTTTCTAGCGTTAGGATGGGCAGCTTTCCCTTCGGCTTAAATCACTGTGCGGTAAGGCGTACGCGGTCTTGCAAAAAGCCCCTTTTCCAGCGGGGACGGAGCATCGCCGCCCCTCGGCTCGCCCGTGGGGACCTACAAGGGTCGGATCCTGCCAGCACGCCCGGGCTGCGGTGGCACGGCGCGGCACGGCCACCGAATGTGAGCGCCCAGGATCGGGCCCTTCATAGTCCCTCTTTCCTCGCTCGCTCTCTGCAAGCAAATTGGCATTATTATTTTTTCCCCTCTTATTAATAGAAGAAGGGGCAATTTGGAAACGTTTCTCGTGGTCGAAATAATTTTATTTTATTCAGAATATACAGTTTAATTCCTCTATCTACAATTATTTACAGGGTTAAAATAACATTGAAAAAAAGTCTCTGGAAAAGTTGAGGTCATAGATTTCAAGGCACCATTGATAGTGTCCACAGCTGAGCCAAAAAATGTCCGTATTGTATAAAAAAGGGTTTCCTTTGAAATGCAATAAGTTACATGCACAAGCTTTACACATTTTAATCTTTTTGTTTGTTTCGTTTCCCTTTTAAAAATCCCCCATATGCATTCCTTTCGTTATTATTCCTTAACAGTAAAACACAGGAGTCCAAGGAACAAAAAAAAAAAAAAAAAAAAGGGGGGGGCCCTAATAAATTGTCCCAGAGGCCAGCGCTAACGGGTGCTGTAGGGAGCCGTGGGGTTGGAGGTGGGAGTTGATGGAGTTGGCAGCGGGGTACCAGGAAGCGGAGCTCTCCAGGTAGCTGGATGCAGGGGATGGGTTGGAGTTTGGAGGGTGAGCGTGTGCGTGGGCATGGTGGCTGAGGGAGCGGGACGAGCCCTGAGGTTCCCAAACCGCAGGCGACTGTGGAGAGTTGCAGGCCATGGGGTCGCTGGAGCTGGGGCTGTGCTCCGGAGGCATCTCCCCGTTCTTCATGATCTTCTTGATCTTGGATCTTTTATTCTGAAACCAAATCTTCACCTGGGAGGAGAGGAGAGGGGAGGAAAGAGGGAGGG